ACCTATTTTCGTGGATATAATGATTCAACACAGAATTTCGTCAAAGTTAAAAATAAATTTTTTTTTTTATGTCTTAGATGTTTCCTCAGATATTCTACAAAATGAATAAAATTGGTTTATTTCGTTTTTCTTAATGAATCCTTCACTTTGGCCCATATTTCATGAGCAACCAACTCGGCAAGAGCGGCAGAATGCGTCACCTATTTTCGTGTACAATGTTTGATCTATAAATAAGTCTAGAAAAACACCTTGTATGGATACCGGGTGGTATAATTAACTTCTCTTAGTATTTATCTTTAATATCAATTCAATATAACTAGTGACAATTCCTTCAAAGAACCACGACTTTAAAAAAAAATAACGACTGACAAAATAAGATACATAGCGTGATTTAATGCTAAAGTCACTGAAACAACATAAAGATATGGCCCACTTTGTGTTCCCTAGAAATTTTCTGCTGACACGGAATCTGCTAGTTGATCACGTGACTTCAATCGTTGGACTACATTCTAGCAGATGACACTTGGAATTCCGATTAACGCTTGGGATTATAAGGAAATTCAGCCGATAAAAAATGGTGAAGTTTGGTAATAACTGAAATCCGCCATTTTGTATTTATCAAAGTATACATTACAGTCAAGTAACCTAATTTCGTGGAAACCTATTATTCGTGGATTTTCGGAAATGATTCATAATTTATATGAGCCACCTTGCGCGACCTCCGCATTAGTTTGTTTTGATAAACATGGGTTTTCTCTACAATATCAGCTAGTAGAATGAATCCAGTAGTTTTCAAGCAAGGTAAAGTGTATTAATGTTTACTTTGACAAATACAAAATGGCAGATTTCACTTATTACGAAACGTCTCAATTTTTTATTGGCCGAATTTCCTTATAATCCCAAGCGGTAATCGGAATTCCAAGTGTCGTCTGCTAGAATATATTCCAACGAATGAAGTCACGTGATCAACTAGCGGATTCTGTGTCAGCAGAAAATTTCTATGGAACACAAATTGGACCATATTCTTATGTTGTTTCAGTGACTTTTAGCAATAAATCACGCTACGTATCTTATTTTGTCAGTCATTATTTTTTTTTTAAAAATCGTGGTTTTTTGAAGGAATTGTCACTAGTTATAATTAATTGATATTAAAGATAAATACTAAGAGAAGTTAATTATACCACCCGGTATCCATACAACATGTTTTTCTAGACTTATTTATAGATCAAACATTGTACACGAAAATAGGTGAGGCATTCTGCCGCCGTTCCCGAGTTGGTTGCTCATGAAAAATGGGTCAAAGTGAAGGATTCATTAAGAAAATCGAAATAAACCAATTTATGTTATTTTGTAGAATATCTGAGGAAACATCTAAGACATAAAATTTTTTTTTCGTTTTTTTAACTTTGACGAAATTTGGTGTTGAATCCTTATATTCACGAAAATAGGTTACACCACTGTAATACATTTTACCTTACTTGAAACTACTGAATTCATTCTACTATCTGATATTGTAGAGAAAACCCATGTTTATCAAAACAGGCAAATGCGGAGGTCAGGCGAGAACGCACATGTAAATTATTAATCATTTCCGGAAATGCCGGAAAAATAGGCTAGTACGAGGTACTCATCTCTTGACAAATTACCAGTTTCATCAGTAACAAGTGTCACACTGGTCCTTATTGAGCTTGAATAGAGAGAAGTTTTTCTCGTCAAATACTGATTTGAATGATCTACGATTCATAATTGGTTTTCTGGAATTAGTACATGATTCAGTGTATAGTTTATAAAGACTTGCAAAGTTGGTGAACGTTGGCTCAAGATACAATTTAGATGACGATGCCCTGCAATAGTGGGATTCTAGAACGGGAAGGCTTTCCAAGATTTGTACTGCATTACAGTAAACTGCTGAAGATCTATTCACTCGTCCAGGGTGATTGTTGGTTCTTTTTGGTTTTTAGGACCCCAGATAGAACTCTATCCACCCATTTGTATGCTTGTTTTCTCACTTATACAGATTGTACCTAAAAATATATTTTTACAAACAGCTATTCTAACACCATTTTTCTTCAAGTAATAGAAATACGTATACATCTTTCTATTATCTGATCCTGGTGGTTAAACCATTCCATGTTCGGTAACAGTACCTCTCTCAACTAGACTTGATACGAGAGTCTTTCTCTCGCCCCACGTTAGAGACCAAAACTGATTGAAAATTGTTTCCCTGTCACCAAGGGTGAGTTGACAGCATTGCTAAGTTGAAGGGGTATGTGACATACTAGTTTTTGAACATGGCTCCAGTTTTATTGCTTTTTCTTTTTTTGACAAACCGAGTAGGATCCATCAGCATTCCTAATAAAACCTTTGTATGGTTTTCCATCCATTCTTAATTGCTTGTTACC